GTGTGTGTGAGAGAGAGAGAGAGAGAGAGAGAGAGAGAGAGAGAGAGTGCTAAGGTACAGCTCAATAGTAGAGCCTTGCTTAGTATGTGAGGACCCCTGGATTTTATCTCCACCATAGCAAAAAAACCCACAGCACAATTCACAGTGAAGACAATAAAGACTATTCTACAATCATGAACATATAGCACAGATGAAACTAAAATTTTAAAACGCTTTCTAGTTTTAGTAAAGGCAAACCTTATACAATGTTCTAAACATAGGCACGTATGTCAGAGGACAACAGTGGGTATTCTCTAGCATGGTCTCTCACAGGGTTTGACTCAGTCTGGTTGGATAAGTCCCAGGGATCCTGTCCACACGACACCAGGGGTCACAGGTACATACAACCAAAACTGGCTTTTTATGTGGGTGCTAGGATCCAAATCCAGATCCTAATGCTTACACAGCAAGCACTCCTTCCCACTAAGCCATCTCCTAGATATCCTTACACAATTCCAAAGGCTGGATTATGTACCAGCAGAAAGGGGAGAAGGATAATAAGTATTTAAAGATAATATACAATATTGCCTCACAGTTACAAAAATGAACTACCATCCTCACTCCCAAACACATTTCCTGAAGAGAGAAAGGGAGAGGGACAGGTAGGGACAGGGAGGATCTGGAGTAAAAAGAACCTATCAGAACTTGTAGAATCTTTGTCTCCATTTAAAAAGAGGAATCTGGGTATGGTGGCTCATGCCTGTATTCCAACATGTGGAACATGGAGGATGGAGGATCAGGAGTTCAAGTCCAGTCTGGAGTACATGAGTTCTGTCTCAAAAAAGAAAAAAAAATTTTTTTTTGGTCTTTTTGAGACAGGGTCTCCCTGTAGCCACAGCTGTCCTGGAACTTACTATGTGGCCTCGAACTCACAAAGATCCGCCTGCCTCTGCCTCCCAAGTGCTGGGATTAAAGGCCTGCACCACCATGCAGGACAAAAGAAAATATTTTAAATGGGGCTGAAGAGATGACTCAGGGGTTAAGAGCATTGGCTACTTTTGCAGATGACTCAGGTTCAGTTTCTAGTACCTACATGGTGGCTAACAACCATCTGCAACTCCAGTTCCAGGGGATCCAATGCCTTCTTCTGACCTCTCAGGCACTGCACAACATACATGCAGGCAAAACACTCATACACATAAAATTAAAATAAATAAGTTTTTTAAATATTTATTTTAATTTTATGTGTATGAGTGTATTGCCTGCATATATGTGAGTGCACCTGTGTTGTGCCATGCTGCAGAGATCAGAAGAAGGCTTCGGATTCCCCTGGAACTGGAGTCAAGGACTGTTCATAGCCGCCATGTGGGTGCTGGGAATCGAACCCTAGTCCTCTGCAAGAGCAGTCAGTGCTCTTAACCACTGAGCCATCTCTCCAGCCCCCATGAAATAGTTTTTTAAAAGAATAATATAGGGCTGGAGAGATGGCTCAGTGGTTAAGAACACTGGCTGACCTTGCAAAAGACCGGGTTCAAATGCCAGCACCCACATGACAGCTAACAACTATCTGTAACTCCAGTTGCAGGTGATCCAATAGTGTCTTCTGTTCTCTGCAGGCATTGCATGACATGGGTGCACTTACCTACATGCAGTCAATACACACATACACATAAAATAAAAATAATAAATGAAGTATTTAAAAGAATAATGTAAATAATTATAATAGGGCTAGGAAGATAGCTCAGCGGGTAGGTAAGGGTGCTTGCCCTAATGACCTAGGTTCAATCCCTGGAATCCATACAGTGGAGACAACCAACCCCCAAGTTATTCCCTGGCTTACATGTACACACACTCAAAGAAATTAATAAATGTGTACACACACACACCAATAGGTGAATTTGGGAATCTGGTAAATTTCCTAAGTTAATAACATCACAGAACTGATAAAACAGTACTGGATCGGGTCATCCTGGTCTTTCCCTACAGAAGGATTACCACTCATCACTCTCAATGGTTAAAAGGTTATACAAACTTACTCCCAGCCAACTTGGACCTGTTACCAAAAGAATTACCCATCTGTCTATCAATCATTTGCCTTTATTTGATTCATTCACACATTTAGAGCATTTAGGCATCTAAATTCTTATTTCTTAGAATTCTTATTCTCATTTCATAGAATGAGGTCCTAAAGCCCTTAAAATCATTCAAATATAATGGATTCTGTAAATATTAATAGGCTGATAAAAGCAATCAAAGACTTGTTGACTCTAATTTACCCTGGGAAAATGACAGCCCATCTCCATGTACACTGTCACCATGTGAGTGTGTGTTTGAGAGAAGGAGGTGCCCTCCCCATTTCCTAAGCTTACTAATTGCCCTAAACAGAGAGATGAGAGGCCTGTGACAGACACAACACAGGGGATGATAGTATGCATTCAGCTCAGACATGATTTGCAATACTGTTCTAGAGTCTCAGGGCGATGACAGACAGGTCCCTGTGCTGCTTGGCAACTAGAATTCTTATTTACCAAAAGGTAATCAAATATAAAGCCTTCTATGTTCTGCACTGTCCTTTTCCTTACTGGCTGTAGCATTCTAGTCAGTAGGCGTAGGTGGCCACTTAAGGCAAAAAACAACTTTGACCGGAAAAAAATAGAATGCAAAGTTATACTTAAGTGAGTCATTTTCTCTTCCCCAATCTTCATCCCCCAAAGCAAAAAATAAACCCCAAAACCTCATTTTATTCTCTTGTCCTCACCATGTATCAGAAAGAGATCCAACCAACCCCTCAGCCCTCAAAAACCACACAGAGAAATACAAACATTACAACCATGAGAAGTATCAAAGAGCTGCACAGTTAGAGGACCTGGGTATAAAAGCCAGCCTTACTAACACAGTCAGCTGCATGAGCACAAGGGCAGAAAACACACTGTCTTTGGGACGAAGGGGCTCCACCCTAACCATTTGCTTAGGGTATAAATTGCTAAGACAGAAACATTAGTCAAGAAAAAAAGCCAATTACTAAAGAGAATTGCTTCCAAACCAAAGCAGCCACTGGAACATACTATATAAACAGTTCTAAGCCAGGCCCAGGAACTAAAATTTTCCCCCTTTTACCTTGTACTATAGAAAAACATTTCATGCAGTGAGTATTTTTCCAGAGTCAAGAGCAAAAATAAATTGAAATTCAATATTAAATTATAAAATGCTGTAATTTTTAAATTTAATAATAGAAAGTAGCCAGAATAGCTTGGCAATCTGCCTACTTAGAGAACATTAGGAAGTCGGCAAATCTTTCACTTTTTAAAAAGGTATTTTGTCCTGTTTAATCAGCACTGATATTTCCCCTCGCTCTGCTTGCCTAGTAGCTGCCAGAAGCCTTCAGAACCCCACCCAAGCTGCCAAGCTGCCTAAAGCTGGGATGAATGCAAATACTCTAGGTCGTTTGGCGTTTTTGAGATAGGGCCTTCCCTGAAGCCCCGGCTGTCCTGGAACTCCCTATGTAGACCAGGCTGCCCTCAAACTCACAGAGATCTGCCTGCCTCTGCCTCAGAGAGCTGGGACTAAAGGTGTACACCACCACACCCGGCTTGATTCTAGTTTTTAACACAGGATCTCATGTAGCCCAGGAAGGCCTCAAACCTAATTTGTTTTTTTTGTTTTTTTATTTTTATTTCTATGCGTGTATTGCCTGCATGTAGGTAAGTGCACCTGTGTTGTGCAATGCCTGAGGAGGTCAGAAGAGGCTGTCGGATCCCCTGGGACAGTTGTTAGCTGCCAGGTGGGTGCTAGGATTCGAACCCGGTCTTTTGCAAGAACAATCAGTGTTCTTAACCGCTGAGCCGTCTCTCCAGCCCCCAAACCCATTATTTTTAATTAAAAAAAAAATATATCCAAGAACAGTAACGACAGAAGTATTACTTGCACTACGAAAATTCTCACCATAATATGACTTGGAACAAAAATTCTAGTTTTATGTTGTGAAGAAATTTGGAAGGCTGGTGAATCTCATTACCTTCTAAAAGCAACTCCAAAAACTGCTTGTTAAACGTAATTAGCACCAAAAAAACAAAAACACCTGAGCTGAGTTTAAACTGCCGGCAAGAGATTTAGTAATGGGTTAAGGGAAACTAAGGCATTCAACCCACTACTTTTGATTCAGCCTTAATCTCTGCACAGCTCCCTTCGAGGCTACTCAGAAGTGTCTGAGAACACCTTCGATGAACATCTTATCACACACCTATGGAACGCCAGGCACTGGAGTGCCGGTTAGAAAAGAAGCAATTTATGACCTACTCCAGTTTCTCATCAAACCTCTCTTCCACTCTGAAGACAGTTTTGAATACCTGCAATACTACCAGGATTGTTTGAGCTCCAAAATACTCACAATCACTAGCATTTAATAAGAGCTCTGAACATTGGGGTTTTTTCTTTCGATTTCCTGTCTGTAATCCAAGTTTTTGATTTTTACCTTCATTAGCCTCTGGTCTTGAATTCTTGATATAAGCAGAGAATTTAGCAAAGATGTCCATTCCAGCAGTATTTGATTCTGGGTGTTTTGGTGAAAGTTTCAAGTACCTAAGTAGAAAAGGTGATACAGATTAGCAGATCCCTCCAAGATAAATTAGCATAAGTCCATCAATCAATAGGCCACTGTGACAGTGGTTATCAGACAACTTTTTTAAAAAGAATTTTTTGGATTTTTATCTTATATTTTGAGTGTTTTGCCTGCATGTATATAAGTGCACCTGTGCATGCAATGCCCATGGAAGCCAAATTAGGGCATAAAGATCCCCTGGAACTGATGTTATAAATGGTTGTTAGCCACCATGTAGGTGCTGGGTATGGAAGCCAAGTCCTCTACAAGAGGAGCTAGTGCTCTTAACCACTGAGTCATCTCTCCAGACATCATCTAATAGTTATTATATTAAACTAAGAAATGCCATCATCTGTTTTCTATGATATTTTTTAAGTCCCCCCTCCCCCCTTGGGAAAAAAAGCTCTGCAGTGGTTTTGTTCACATATTAATATTCTTGGCAATCAAAGGGCATCCCCATCCACCTCTGTCTGATGAATCAGAATGCCGGGCAAACAGTGCCCTTGCTAAGGGATCTAGGCCAGGCACCAGGAGTCTTAGAATGAAACTTCTCAGCAGTCCTGTCCAAGAGAGCTTTCCACAGTAAAGGGTATGCGCTCCATTTTCACTGTCCAGTACAGCGACCATCAGTGCCCAGGAACTATCAGAACACAACTTTAAATGAATCACAATGAAATAAAGCAAAACTTCACTTCCTCAGATGTACTAGTTACACTCCAAGTTCTCAGTACAGCTCTAGAGCCTTCTCACAGCTGGGTCCTTAGTATGCCAGGCACTAACCCAGCCCTGCACAACAGTACCAGGAAAAGCCCAGGCTGGTCAAGCATCTTGATCACCCACATAGGCTGACGACAAAAACACTAGAAGGTAGACCATTTACTTCCAACCAGCACCCAGATTTTCCCAACCCCATCTGAGCTAAATATGCTGTAGTGTATTTATGACAAGAATGCTGAGCAGTAACAACAGCAAAAATAAAATGTCAGAAATTATACTGGATCCTCTTTTGTGTTATCAAGTTTTTCAACTTTGAGAAAGACATGACACACAAGCTTTATTTTATTTATTTACTTT